TGGAAGCAAACTGTTTTTCTATAGCTTTCCAGTATGAATAAGGATTCAAAAAGATTTACTGTGTAAAACAGAATTCCCCTGTTTTAGTTTTTCTGTGTATTAAATAAAGTTGTCACCTAAAAATTACTGCCTGGAACATGTTCTAAATAAAAAAAATACACCTCAGAATCTACTATAATTTCATAATATTGGCTGCCAAGCCAAAACACTAATTTCATATTCCACAATTCTTTCAACTTCCTTTTTGAGACTGCATGTACGAAATAATAACAGCAGTTAACTTATATCACTTCTATTACATGTCAGGCACTGTCTGATATGCTTCATACATATTAATTCATTTAACATAGAATGCCCATGGGATATATGTTATTATTATCCCCAATTTACAGACAAGGAAACTGAGGCAGAGACTTCCTTGCCAAAGGTCACAAGACTGGTAAGAAGAGAAACCACAGAGTTCAATCCAAACATTCTACTCAGAATTGGTGCTTACAGCCTTCACGCTAACCCTAGTGTTTAGACAGTACCGAGCAATTCTGTAATTCAATCACATGACAATTCCAAAGCTTGCCAGCCAGAGGAATTTTAAAATACTAATTCCTCTACCAATCTATTTTGGGCAGAGGGTGGTATTCAACAAATTCCAAAGCCTTTTGAAACAATTAACTTGATTTTTCATTTCATTTAAAACAAAACCTCTTCCTGAAATGTCTTTCTCGCAAGAGCTAAACCTTTATGAAAACATGCTAGCATTTTCTAAATTTCATACCCTCTCATTTACAACATTAAAACATTAAAAAAACACAGCACAAAATGTGATCATGTTTCAGTTTTATGCTTCAGTCTCTAACATTAGTCCTAAATCTATCATTAGATAATTCTCTCTAATGATGCAGAAGAATTCTTGAGTAACACAAGATGAGCTGTAGAAAGATTCTAGAATAGTTTAAAAGCAGTAAAAAGAAAGTAATTTAAAGGAACTAAAATGTCAGGAACCAAGAGAGTAATTATGAATATCACAGCATATTGAAATGAAAGAAAATAAAGGCAAAGGAGAAACAAAACACAGGGACCCATATAAACACTCCAAGAACACATCAAGGGCCCACCAGCAGCTACCAACCTATACTGAAGAGAAGTAATTCTCCTTAAGCAATAAAATGCCAAATGTTTGTTGGCATTAGCTTGCTCGTCAGTGAAGTACACAATGTGAAAAAAACAAACAAATGTAGAAGTCACACTCTGAAAATAAAAAATATTGATTAAAGATTGGCTTTGTAATTTTAAGACAAATATTTAGAGTTTTTCATGTAGTCGTCATCATCATCATCATCATCATCACCATCATGATCTATTATTTCAAGGATAAATCTATATTTTGAAAGCCCTCCAAAATTTCAACCTATTTCTGACTTAAAGAGTAGAAATAACGTAAGTCCAATGTGTACCCAATTTTAAAATTGTTTAAGAGGGCTCTGAAAATAGTCTTCATTTAATGTCTGGGAAAAATCCTAAAATTCAATTAGGAATAGATTAATCACATTATTTTACTAATTCCTCACAATGACTTAATACTATGGATATATTTCAAAAGGAAGAATGGAAATGAGCTTAACCAATACAACACAGCAGGCATGGAAGTTCCGTTCTCCTCTGTGCAGTCCCCAAATACAATTTTAAAATGCTAAGAGAGTGTGCATGAATAAACACTGCCGGAGGCTCCAAGCCAGAGATAAGACAAGGGCCAAAAGAAACACAAAACTGTAGGGTGTGCAGATGACACATACACAAAGATACGGGCACATCATAGCTCTGCCTGTACATAAACACCCCACTGTACACTCTACTGAGGGAAAAAAGAGATTTATAAGTCAATGATCTCCAATTCTTTCATTACACGTCAATACACTGAACTCCAAAACCTGGGTGAGAACCTTAGAAAGCATGTAGTGTAAATGTTATGGTCCATGATTACAAACCACCTGTCCTGGCTTGTAATTTACAGCCACAGGCCAACCCCACACGATGGAACTCAAAGGTTTCAAGAGTCTACGAAGTAAAAGAATTGGTATATGCTAAAATTTGCATGTTATTGCTCTGGACAAATTCCCTCTCAGGTTGTGATAGTTTCTTCAAAGGAAATCTAGGGTTCTATACCCCTGAAGAACATGACTGTTTTACCAGAGTCCAAACAAAGAAATGAAACACTTGCAGTCTTTCAATGACACAATCAAAAGCTTAAAGCCAGCCCTGGCTGGTGTGGCTCAGTGGATTGAGTGCCAGCCAAGGGGTTGCTGGTTCAATTCCCAGTCAGGGCACTTGCCTGGGTTGCAGGCCAGGCCCCCGGTGGAAGGATGGTGCACGAGAGGCAACCAAACACTGATGTTTCTCTCCCTCCCTTTCTCTCTCAGTTGTCCTCCCTCTAAAAATTAGTAAATATGTTTTTAATAAAACCTTAAAGCTAAAACAACCTCAGTTTTTCTAAAAATATAAAATAATTAAGCATCATTAAAAGTAATATAATTTGTGTACTCTTAAGGAGTTTTTTGTTTGTTTACGTTTACTCCTTGAGTTACATAACAGGAAAACTAGACCAATCTTTCTGGGAATGATAAACCTTTGCATCTTTAGAACCCTAAGCCATAGTAGTGACTATATAGTAAGTGTCCTATATTCTGCATGCTGAAAACTACTCACTTAAGTATGAAGCTCTATGAATTTCTGAAGTTTTTTTACGACGTACAGTGGATAGATAATACTGACGCTGTCAGTCCAGGGGACTGAAGTAAGTGGCCATCCAGTGCCGTCCCACTAGCTGTCACCTTTCCTGTCTCCTCCCCCAGATCGAAAGTTCCTCAAGGGGAGGGACAATGAAGCTTCTGCCACTATTACAATGCCTAGCACATTCCTGGCACAGAACAAGCCCTCGGTAAATTAATACTGACCCAGTGAATTTGTTCAATGTCTATCGTATATTTTTATTTCAAGAGTTTTATTTACCTTAAGGCTCTTAATTTTTGCCTATTCTGAATGATTACAAACACCCCCGTTATTTATCCTGAGTGGATCTGCCAGGATTAACCATTTTTTGTTTATAATAAGGAATAAAAAACCAAGATGTTTATGTGACTCCACTCTAAATAGTTTCATTTGGACCAATATGGGTACAAATCAAACTTTAACCTATTTTTATTGCTTGCTTTAACATAATGTAATAAATACAGGCTTGTCTTTAAAATACACTCTACAATAATGCATGCTGGGTAAAGTAAGTGGCTTAGAATCTTCCTTTATTTAATACTTTTACGGTAATAAGTGTTCGGCATTCAGGGATTACCAGGAATCACAAACCTGAAGTGTAAAAAAAAAACCAAAAAACTTTGCTGGCTGGGAATAATTTTAATTAAAACAATCATGCAATCAATAGTGATAATCAGGCCAACATCATGAGCTCAATTGGTGCCTGCTTCCCAACAGGGACTGTGCCCTGACCCGCCCCTCCTGACGGGCGTGGAGTTCAACATAAGAACATGTGAGGAGAGACTACAGATGGACACGAACCCACCTCCACTAAATTCACTCAAATGGTACACATACCACGGCCAGCAATACAAATGAGACAGCTTATTACTAATCTTAGGAAAAGCTGACAGGCCACTCAGAAATTCAGGTTCAAGATTTCTTTCCATAACCTGGCAGAGCCCAGAGACACGGCAGGTACGGTTCCAGACTCTGCAGTGAAGCGGAAACCAAAATGCAGTGAGGCGCTCGGCTTTTCTGGCTTCCCAACGTATCCAAAAGTTACGTTTGCACCATATTGTAGTCTAATGAGTGTGCGATACAGCACTGAGTCTAAAACCATATACACACCTTAATTAAATGTTTTGTTGCTAAGAAATGCTAACCATCACCTGAGCCTCTGGAAAATGGAACCGACGGATTTGTTTAACACAGGGTTGCCACAAACCGTCAGTGTGTAAAAAATGCACTATCTGCAAAGTGCAATATAAAACAAGGAGTGCCTGTATTTGTGATTATATTCTATTTATAACCCCAACAATCCCCAAATACCCATAGTAAATATGGCTACACATCAGCATTCTAAAATGCTAAAACATGGCTATATTAATAGTTCTATATGTAACTAACATTAATACAATCATGGTTAATCACTTAGGGTCAAGTCACAGGAATGAGAGCTACATCTATAGCACTAGTTTTCAAGTAGCAAACTACACAGCCCTTAGGTCTGTCTTCCTGGAGGAATTTTGAGGTAGCGTGTGTGTGTGTGTTTGTGTGTGTTAATGTAAGATACAACTAAAAAAAAACAAGACTGTCTTCAAGACAAGAATTTAATTACAAATCAGACAAGCCCTGGCAGGTGTGGTTGGTTGGAGCATCGTCCTGTAAACCAGAAGGCTGCGTGTCCTATCCCTGGTCAGGGAGTATATGGGATGCAACTGATTGATGTCTCTATCTTTTTTTCCTGCCTTCTCTCCCTCCCTCTCTCTAAAAAATAATAAATATATCTTTAAGTGAGGACTTCAAAATATCAGAACACATGCATCCCTGTATGCAGTGCTCTCAAACACCAGTCTGACACAGCAGGGCCCCCACCCCCAGAGCTCACTGAACTCTGGAAGCCCAGGCCCACTGAAATACTGTTCTTGCAAGTAGGAGGCAGGGTCCAAAGAGCTATATTGTGAAGCAGCTCACATTTCTGTGATGTAAGTGAAATTCTGGTTCAGCCTTAAAGCTTTACCATGAGCCCAACACCTTAACCTGGAAAAAGAGTTTAAGTTTTGTGACCACCATGCATAAGCCAACCTGCCCGCCTTCCTCACAGATAGACTAGACATATTTGAAGATACATGAAAGGTTTATTGTTCTAAGATCCCCTGCACACTCTTTATGTTTGAAAAGGCAGGTGAAAAATAAAACCAGCCTTAATAGCATAAGAAATATCTGTGCAACAGGTCCACTGAAGGAAAAAATACCTAATGCAACTGGGTCTGGGTTGACAGGACTCTGCTGCCTGGAGTGGCTGCTGCTACTGCTGCTGCCCTTTTTTAAGTCCTCAGCATCGCTGTACCGCCGGATCCAGTAATTCAGCTCCTCCCGGTCCGCTTCCTGACATCGCCTTAGCACAGTGAGAGATCGCCTTGTTTTCTCTACCATGTCCATTATGCAGTTTAACAGCTGTGTGATGAACAGGGGAAAAGGGAAGAACGGATCAATCAGCACAACTTAAAGACTTTGGCGGGCAGGGAAACAAACTACTTTAGGACAATGAAAGATGTTGTTCAATTCCTAAAGGCTTCAGTCGAATCTTTCCAAAGGTTAGATTTAAAATTGAGACCCTCATAGATAAGTAAACTCAGTGGGAATGAGACCGAAATGTGGGAGGCATGTACTTGAGTCGTGGCAAAGAGCGAACATCGTGAAGGTATGCAGCCGCCTTTCCAGATATTAACCCCAGTAGTCTACGGCCATAACACCTTGAACGCGCCCGATCTCGTCTGATCTCGGAAGCTAAGCAGGGTTGGGCCTGGTTAGTACTTGGATGGGAGACCAAATATTAACCCCATTAGTGCATAAACCCAGGAAACTGTTCACGAAAACTATTCTTCTTTCCCATGATCTAAACACATCTCTTACATAAATGGTTTTGGTATCAACTCAGAGATCAAATACTATATTCTGCTTCAAGTATTCTCACCCATTATATTTTTCAAGGTTAGCAGAAATTATAATACCTTCAAAATATCTCCACGCTTTTATTTTAGGAGGTAAGGACACCCCAGTTGTTTTCGAAATGTTTTAACCTAAACAATTACCGACATCTTACATGGTCAAGATGCTTCCACTCCTCTGCCCATTCTCGGTCAGTTAGTCTGTGATCAATCATTTCTTCTTGCCGTGTGCCATGCAACCCTACAAACGTAGAGGAGAAGGTTGAGTCATCCTCAGCACTAGGGACATAATCCATCTGCACACAGGTACTTAGCGAAGACTACATGGGCAAACTAAAGAATATGAAATAATATTCAACCTTAAGTGGAGACACCCAGATTCGGAATTACCTGATAGGCAGCTGCTGACAGAATGATAAAATGTTAGGGACTCCTAGAGGTTATCCGGTCAGAACCCTTTCTTTCACATATGAGGACAGAAGGAGTAAAGTGACACCAAGCCCTGAGCTAGTTTTCCATGTAACATTCCCTAAGCGAACGTTCATTCTAACTCCTTTAATAAATATAAGAAACAAGAAATCACAAGAAGACATTAAGTGGTTTCAAACTGTGATTTTTCTGCATTAAAAATGAAGACAGCATAAGTCATTCTACATACTTTTCTAAAAAAGCATAGTAAAAATTTTCCACATTTCAGCACACTGTAAAGAAACACAATGCTATTACATATACTTCCCTGATAAATGAAATCATGAAGAGAGAATTCACATAATACGAAAGCAGCATATATCCATTCAATTTACCAATATATAAAAAATAGAAACAAATCAAATATCCTCTATGAAAAAAGTCAATATGTCAAATATAATTTTGGTCAAATATCATGAATTCAAACCCAGAAATCAAAAAGCCTAATTTGTAGTCCACAGCATAAATATTTTTGCTCTTTAGTATCACAGTAAAGATGCTACCATAAAAAAGTAACAAGTAAATGCTTACCAAGTTCATAACAATAGTAATAACATGAGCAGTTATTGAGGACGCTCATTAACATAGAAAATAAATGAGTCTCAACGATAGCCCATGGAAACAGAATAGGTATCCATCAATGATAAAGATGTCATACACACATGCACACACACACAATGGAATACTACACAGCAATAAAAAAGAATGAATTCTTGCCATTTGCCCAATCGTGGATGGATCTAGAAGTTATTATGTTAAGAAAACAAGTTAGACAAAAAGAAACAAACACCATAAGGTTTCACTTATATGTAGAATCTAAAACAAAAACAAACTCATAGAAACAGAGACCAAAGAGATAGTTACCAGAGGGGAGAGGTAGGGGAGGCTGGGTGAGAGCTGACAGGGAATATAGTCGATAATATTGTGTGTAGTGTGTACAGTGACAGAGGATTACTAGAACCAGTGGGGTGGTCACACTGTTAGGTATAAAAATGTCGAGTCCTTATATTGTGCACCTGAAACTAATATAACTAACTTATTAAGATTGTACACTAACTATACTTAAATTTAAAAATGTAATTAAAATAAAGAAGTGCCAAAACAACTTGTTAAAACATGAAGAAGCTGAAACAATTAAACGGAATTACACAATAAAACTTTTATTTGTATTATATAATAGAATTCCAGTAAAATAAAAAAAGAATACAGTAGAAGGCTCTGAGATACTTGGAAATGGGTCGCTCTTCTTACAAAGTCATTACGCATAAGTCACCTCAGGTTCTACTACAAAGGGAAGGCATTGGGCTATGGGGGTTTCCATTTTAAACAGTTAAAACTATTCTTCTTGGTTTAGACCAGTGATTTCTCAACCCTTTCCATCCCATGGCACACATAAACTACTAAAATTCTATGGCACACCAAAAAAAAATTTTTTTGCTGATCTAACAAAAAAAGTATTGTCATTTTGATTTCTTCACACTGGGCAGCTATTGTTGTATTGGCTGTTGTCATTTTGTTATTTGACAATTTAAAGGAAAAGAAGTTGGTACCCTTGACTGAATACTTAAAACATTTTTGCAACTCACCAGTGTGCCATGGCATACCAGAGGGATTGAGCCAACAAGAAAAAGGACTCGTGGACGTGGACAATAGTGTGGGGGTTGCTGGGTGGAGGGAAGTGTGGGACTAAATGGTAATGGCAAAAAAAAAATACAGTAAAAATTAAATTACAAAAAAAAAAGACTAGTTAAATACTCTGAATAGCACATTCAAAATGACGTGGTTTAGGGTTCTCGACACCCAGGGTCTTCTCTGAGGGTATTATGTAAGAGTTAGAAGACAAGAGTTATCATAAACTGCAACACTGCATTATACTTTTTGTGAAATTTGACCGATTAAAAATTCCTTCCTTTTGCTAATTTGGAAAAATAAATATGATGAGTCACATGCCTGTTGCCGGCCAACCATAAAATATGAACAAATATCAGCCATGAAAAACAAACAAATAAATACAGTTTTCCCCTCAGACTAACTTAAAAGCTAAATATAAAACCCTTTGCATCATTCCTGTCCAATGTGAACCTATTTGATACATTTAAAAGTTAAAATTGTCAATGCCACCTATTGGTAAAAATGTAGAATTGCAAATATGTTTTCATAATTCGCATAATGGAAAAGACATTGGGGAAAAGTAGTATTTAGTTATTGCTATTTGTTGTGACTATTTGGAGTTGAAATGTTTGCAAGCATGTAATTTTTGTTGACTTCTCTGTTGCCTGTGTTTTCAAAGAAAAGGCACTACGGCTGAAATGAGTCATCACAGAAGACAACGGAGAGTGCCAAGGTACGAATGTAGCACTGATAAACGTGGCATTGACTTTCATGATGAAGGCTTTTCAGAACTAAGGACTCCAGAGATTTCAAAAGTTGCAAAATTCATCTGACTAAATTGATAATGATACCGGTGCTAACAACATTGGAATAGTAAAGTGAAACAGGATGTCTATGGCTAATAAAATTCCAACATTTGTGAAACAGTATTAAGCCTCATCTCATTGAAGAAAAAAAACCATGTACATTAGCAACATGTCTGAGCCCAAGTACATGGTGGAAAAGAAATACAGGACTTTGCCGCTTTTGAACTCTGAATCAAATCTTTAAAAAGAAAAAATAAAGCAACTCAAAACTTGACATTTATTAATTTCTCTATTTTAGATAGTTAAATATTCCTCCACATGCAATTTTTCTCTATATTTATAACACCAGGGGGATATACTAGGAGAAAGTAGCTCATAAGCATTAAACAGCATATTTTTGCTTGTGGAAAGTTTGACACTCCTACTGAGCCTTAACTGGTTCTTGGGCTTTAGAAGATTTTAGCTAACTAGGCTAAACTCTAGTTTTATTTATAAACTAATATTGCCTGTAAAGTTATTTTGTTAAAGGATTCTAGTGAGTATCTGTCTCTACATAAAGCAGGCATTTATAAATCATACTAGACCACGTATATCTTCTTGAGGATTTTTATATTTTCAGAATGGCAGCCCGGCACAACACCACACTTTGTCACTCATACATCGAGGTTTTATTTTATATTAACATACACTGAACTCTGCCAGACTTGAGAGATGATTAAATAGTTGCACATATTTATAGAGATTAGCACTATTAGGTTTATAAGCTAATATAATTAAAAGGTAAGGAACATGGTCTGGAAAAAAATCCCATAAAACCAATAGATATGATTCATAAAGGGATTTTTACATTACTAAATGAAAACATAATCACTGCACATAAGCGTAATTACTTCCTGGATGACTACTTTATAGTACACTCCAACCAGTATTTCACAGAACAGCACTTGCTACCTAAGAAATAGGTCAAATCCTAGCACCTGCACGGTGGAGTATCTTGAATTGGTCTTACAATGACCTGGTGCCTCCACTTCTACTTGACAATGAGCCATCAAATGTTTGAAACATTAGGTTATAAACAAGTGACAAGGCTTTTGCTTGGAAGGGGGTCATTATCACATTTGATTTGGGGGTCAGAGCATCAACCCGGTCTGAGAAGCAACGTGGCCACTTTTGAGAATTCTTCAGAAATGGTACTGAGAGAGCGTGAGACAGACTGGCTATGAAGAAAGCACAGATCCCATGCACAGCTCTGTCTCTGACATGGGACACAAATTCAGGTGTGACCACTCTGGGGAAGCAGAATTACTATGTTGCTGTCTCACAAACTGGTCCTTAATTGCTCCTCACCTTGCCTCTCCCTTTCTGTTTTCAAATATTTAAAGGGTTGTACGTAGAAAGGCAAAAAGGCCTTACACATTGCAGCTTCTATTTGCTCATAACCCAGTTAGAAATCTACTGAGGACTGCTGTTCACCACACTGCCTCTGCCTGTGGCTAAAGACACAGCCCCTACCATTCAGCATGAATACCTGGCTGGCTACACTTTGCAGAGCTCTGCACCCTCCGCTCTGTGTTCTGGTTGTGCACTTGGACTTTATCCCTTACTGTTTCCAGGATCCTTGCCCAACAAATCATCCAGGTCAGGAAAATCTGTCGGCAACGAGCTACGGTGGGAAGTCCTGTGGGTGGGTGGCAGGGACACAGAAGACAGGAATAGAGAGACCTGACTATTGCTCCCAGTCAGTTTGTAAAGGGCTTGACTCACCACAAATTAAGAACTGAAGGGGCTCCAGGATCAGTGATCTGATACCTTCACCTCAACCACTGATCACTTATCAAAACCTACCTTGTGCATCTTCCCTTTCACTGTTCATGGTGTTCACTTGTTCTTTAGAAGGAAATGTGTCCTAAAAGCTTCATTTCCAATAGTTTTATGCAAAGAAAGAATGAATGCAGGCAAATGGAACACATATTTTTATAAACTCATTCCTTCTCTGGAATTCTAATCTGTGACAAAAAAATTTCAATACTAAATTTAATCACTGGCAGTTTAAAGTTAAAAAAGAAAGTACCAAATCATCCCTCAAAGAACATCTGTTAAGCCACAGACATATTATGTCATATTTTTCAAATACAAACTATCACAAAGACTAGAAAAAGAAAAATGAACTTTGTCTATTAGAAATAAAATATACAATAAAAGAAATGGATTTTTTAAAATATTTGTGGACGCTAGGTTGCAATTAAAATATCTCATATTAAAAAAAGTCAAACTGAAAGTTCACTTCCCATTTAGTTGAGGGTTTTGGGTGTCTCCTTCCAAAAAATTAACCTGCTGTCATAAGAATATGCTGTCATAAGAATACAAGTAATTAAGAGAAAAAAGCATGGCTATTAAAGAGCATATTATCAACTTTTTATCATAAAGGAGATGATATAAAGAAAGAAAAGAGAATTTTTAGCCCTATCACAAATTTCAAGCCTCAAGATCTGTTGAGAAGTAACGATGCAAACCTTCAAGCATCCAATCCCATACGTAAGATATGAACAGACCCTCAGTCTTACCCATAGGTCTGTTTCTCTCCCTGAGGTCCCTGTGGCTGGGGTGTCGATAGGAGTCCCTGTAGTGGTGGGCAATGGCCATATCATCCAAACGGTAATGCTGAGGTGGAGGTGGGGTGGGGTGAGGCAGGCCGTTGGGCTGGTAGGATAAGCCGTTATTTGGACTGTACCGCTGGCCTGGGCTAATAGTGCATGGTCGCTTGCTTGGATGTTCTGAGTGCAAAGGCTCTCTGTCAAAGCCATTTTCTTTGGTTCTAAGGAGGAGGGGGGGAGAAAAAGAGTTTGTTTCACATGTACTCAGAAACCAGCATAATTCAGATACTCACATTTGAACGTGCAATATAAACAGAATATTCCTTTACCGGCCAGAAACGTGGTAAACTCTGCTTCCCAGAAGACCTATGGGGATTCACCGAAACCCATGCTGGGGACTAAATGATCACAGAACTGCACACAGGAGAAAATGGTTCAATTCTCAAATATCTTTCAGCAAACATCATTTTGGTTGAAGTTCAGATGTTTAGGTCGTGAATAAAAAGAAACCCGATCTCACTCTGTAGAACAGTGTCATTCAAAAGAGAGTGCTGGATTTCTACCAAATTACCGTAAGACCAAGTGTATCTGATGAAGATTCAAGTTGGAACATCATTCTCTTGATGAATTCTTAAGGTACACCTACTCCATTCATCCAACCTGGCACCTGACTTTCATGTCCGAGAACATCTAAGAGCTGTGTTGTCTAATACAGTAGCCACATGTGTCTGTTTAAATTTAAATATAAATTAATGGAAATAAAGTTTAAAATTCAGTTCTTTAGCAGCAGTAGCCCCATTTCAGGTGCTCAACTGCCCCCTAGGGCTAGTGGCTATAGGAGTGGACTGCGGAGACATAGAAAGCTCTATTAAAAAGCACCGATCACATGAGCTAATACAATTAAAGCAACGCCATGTCTGGGACTCTGACGTTACCTTGAGTCACCAGGATATCAATAAGCAGTTATACAGAGCTAGGTGGAACTGACCAAGAATTCAGGTGAAGTCTTTTGTTTTAACATTGAGGAAACCTATGCCCAGAGAACCTGGGAGGCCTCTGTGGGCCCATCAGGCCTCAGCTAGCATACATACGGCGTATGCTAACTGAACTTGATCACGTGACACACAAAACTCTGAACTTGGTTTTCAAAAGGAATACTTTATATAAATGAGACCTGATAACTAATCACCGGTCCTATATTTGCAAAGAGAGGTGAAGCTAAGTAAGTATTTTTCGGCTAAATAAACGTCCATTCTTAAGGGCTAACTGAAAATACTCAGTAAGATAGGAACAAACCACATCCAACTGTGACTGGAACCACAGCTCCTAAACCAATTTTTTATGAAGTAGCTGGCTGTCCCCACAAGACCAGCATTCTGTCATTAGACCAGTAATAACATCTACTTTCCCTGCAAAAGTTCCCCATGAGAGTTCTACCAAGTCACAGCAGCTGCAGATTTCTGCATGCCTTTTTGATTTTGGGTTGGTAACGATAGCATAGAGGCCTGAAGACATTTTCCCTGCCCTCCTGGCTTCCAGGATAATCTTTGTCTGATAACACCAGAGGAATCGGAGTGGTAATGACTCAACAACAGAGCTTGTGAGGGCCAGGGGATTCGACAATGAGCCATCCTTCCCCTTCAGTAGGGTAGGTCCCCAGGGACAACTGACACACACCAGACTGAGATGGATAAAGGACTCAGAGACAGGAGTATAGAACACACAGAACTGGGGGAAGCTGCAGAGCGCGGTGTGAAATCACACATGCGCACTACCTCCCGAAGAAAGGCGTGCTACCCTGGAGACAGCAGACCGGCCCGCACTGGACGTGACAGCAGGGCACGAACCCTGCGGGTGGAGCTGGAAGTTTCAATGCTGCTCCCTTCAGTAGGTGTCTGTACTCCAACATCATTCATATCAGACAAAAATGTCCACTGTAGCTCAGACATTACCTAAACACATCGCTTTAAAATATTTTTTAAAGTGAAAGAGACATTCTAGATACTGATTTCTCTTCTGAGGATTATCTATGTGATTGTAAACTGTATCTCCATATTCTATACATTTCTGAACAATACACTTCAACATTCAATGCATATTACCAGTATAAATCAGTTGGAAAATACTGAAGACTATTAGTAGCTATGAACATAATGCTAACACAGCACCTACCTTACTGGCAGTGTGGTGTAGTGGAAAGAGCTCTGGACTGGGAATCATGAGACCTGAGATCTAGTCCTGGCTCTTCCACGACTAGCTGTGTGACCTTGGGCAAGCCACTTAACCTCTCTGGACCTCAGTTTGCTCATCTGTAAAATGAAAGGGTTGGACTAGGTCAGTGGTTTTCAAACTGTGCCACATGAGGCATGTCAGGGAATCTGCAGGCAATGAAGAAAGTTTCCCCCAAACAATCAAAATTTAAAGGGCCAGAGGAACCCACTTATTATTATCTATTTTCATAAATTTGGGTTCCACCTAAGGTTTTATTTTAAAGAAAATGTCTGCTACTAAAATCAAGTTTGAAAACCACTGGACTAGATGATCTCTGAGGTCCCTTTTAGTTTGAACACTCTGTAATTCAATTTTTCTATATCTACAACTAAATATCATGCAGATCAAAACACACAGGGCTGATGGTCCTCTGGCCAAACTGCATCTGTGTCAATTACTTTGGCCAACAGAGAAATTCTCTGTCCTTCCTTCTGAACAATTTATTATGTATAGCTAATTATTCGTGCAAAAATAGACGATACCCTCTAAATACCTTAGAGCAGCTACTGTTGCATTTCCAAATATAGAAACATTTTTGGCCCGGTTGTGCCAAACCACCTCAACTTTCTGGCTGTGTCTACCCTTGTTCAAAGACAACAACACACAATATTGGAAGATTTCTTACAATTTTCAAAGTGTAACTTATTTTTACCCTCAGAATCAGCCACCTGGTTAGTACTATTACTTCAAGGACCTATTACTAGAAAATAGATCTTTCTCCTCCTAAACCAAACAGTGATATCCTAAGCAGGGCTAAGTCCCAAGCTGGTCCTATCATTTCTGTCAGGTCCCCGCTGTCCTATTTGAGGTCCCGTTACTCAACTAGCTATGGAAACAATAAAGTTTATCAACTCACGGAGATACTTATATTTTAATAGTAAAACACTAATAAAACATTCAGCCCACAAAAATAAGGTCTCACTGGTGCTTCCTTGAATCCCATCCCTTATAATGTCTATTATAAGGTCTATGCTATTCAAAGGGTGTATGTATCTAAAACAACTCCACTGCCATTTGTCTGTTTCTTAGAAATGCCTGCATCCATCTACACCTCACCTGCCTGAGCAAATTCCAAATCTGAGTGTTTATTTGTTGTCCTTTCAAAGTATATTAGGCAAAACTAACTAATATTAGTAAATGCCTTATACTAGCATACTCTTGAAGTAACTCCAATTCTGGAGGGTAGTTTGTTATGTCTCAGATTTCTAGAAGGCATTGCTTGTTTGTGTTTGTTTTCTAAGTTAACCTGATGATATTTTATTCCCCACCAGGCCAAAGAAACCTCCCTGCACATAGTCTAACCACATCAACTCTGAGATCCCGATCACTTTGATCTCAGGGTCTGATGGTCCTAAACCTGGAGGCCCACGGAGGCCTCCGCTGTGTCACCTCGGGTAACCTGGGAAAGTTAACGTCGGGGGTTCGGTTTCCTGCCAGGTAAATGGGACTGGAAGGAAACAAGTCATGGTACTAAAACATGGTATTAAAAATAAACAAACAAACAAAAATAAACCCTTAAAAGACAACCTAATTTATACTTTAATCCATTTCAAGCTATTTTTTCACCTGTTCCTCAAAAACACAGACTGTTAAAAACAGACTGTAAACTATTTATGAAAGAAAACAAACATTTTAAAAAAATACTTGCCTCTATCATAAAATATTTTAAATGTCATAATTGGCCGCTGTACACTGATAACCCCTTAGCAACACTTGCATAAAATAGTATAACATTCAAAAAATGAAAAAGAATGAAAAAAATTATTACAAGATCCTGACAACAAATAATGTAACAGGGCTAATCAACATCCTATATGACAGAAATAAGCATAAATTCTTTTCCTGGATTAAAATGTTCTTTTTCTGTTAAGTGTAGGGGACAGGGGTATCACTACAAAGACTGTTCTAGGGGCAAACTGGAACAGCGTAAGAACAGCATGGAAGAAACGTCATGATTCTAATCTTAGTCCTGTTACACATAAATAAGAGCCACAGCGCTCACTTCCCCAAGTTACGTGGGCATTTCAAACAGAATTTGTCCAAACTGACCTCATCTTCCTCTGGTACTTCCTGTATCAGTCAGTCACGCCACCTTCTACCCAGTCACCCAAGTAGAAACTTGGAAGTCACGCGAGAACTGTCTCCTCCACACCCAGTCCTGCTGTTGGTCTCTTAAGCATCTCTAGCGTAGGTCCCTCTGTCCCATCCCAGGGTCTCTTTATCTTGACACAATCACCTGTATGTCTGTCCCGTTCTGCCAGTATCCTAGCCAGAGCAGTGTAAGACACTGGTAGCGTCTTAAAATTTAAAAAATTTTTTTTTGTAATTTAGACGTCTATATTAGAAGATATAGATCAGGAGGTAACAGTTCTATTTTCTTAAGAGCCCCCAAACATTAGTAACTTAATATTAAACACAACTTCCTTGTTTTTTCTTATGCATGCAGTCTGTTAAGATTTTCACACAAGCAGCAGACCCTGAATCAAAAGGGGGGGGGGGTTAAGCATTCTTGTCATAGGTTCAAAACAATTCAGTGAAAGTTCTGTTCATAAATTGTTAAAAACTAGATGAATCTAGATAAAAAATACCTTTCTCTTGGTACTGAATAATGCATCCGAAACAAAATATATTACAAAAATATTTTACAAATATGTTACAAATTCCCCTGCCTCCTCAAAAAGAAAATCAAAGCTAGAACTTCACAACAACCCAGAGCGGTTTCTGTGTTTTGCTATCACCTTAGAGGCAGTGGGCGATTCAGACAGGGAAGTACCAGAGAGAGCGGAATGGCTCAGGACTGTCACTACTGGGCCATACGCAAGAGGCGCCTTCAGTCTATCCATGGCTAAACTACCACCTAGGAGATCACTTCCCCAGTGGCGTGCTAATACCTTCAGGAGTAAATGAAATGATGGTGGATGGTGGCTGCTCTAGACATATAAACATCATG